GAGAGAGCCGTCGCCATCACTTATTTTTAGCGATTTTTTTTTTGTTTGGTCGAAAAAAGGGTATCTTCCTTATCAATGTTTATCATCATCATTAATGGATGAGATCGATTCACAGTTCCAGTTATTAAATTTTTTACTGCAAAACTTTAAAGAAGTCGCTGACATGGCTAAAGAAGCATTACGTGGCAATATTTAATTGGTTTAAATACGTATCTTCCACAGTATAACTACCAATCTTCACACGGTAACACACGGTGGTTCATATCAATTTTGCCTCTATATTAAAAAGGTAACTTCCTCCGATAAACACAAAACAGTCTTTAGAAATCAAAAGAAAAGCAAATCTCGAAACAATCTGCGAAAATGGCGAATCGATCTAGGGTTATCACTATGTCTTCTCTTGATCTCAACCAGGAAGATGATCTCGTGATCGATCTCGATCTCTGGGAAGTCGTTAACCCTTCCGACGGCGAGTACTCCGACGATTCTTTCTCCGTCGATAGTCTTTCCGATGATGACGTCATTTCTCTTGACGACGCTTCCTTGATCTCTCCGTCTGTCATTTCTCCTCCGCCGTCGCCTTTGCCGCCTCAGATGCTCGTTGTGGCTGACGACGGTGGTGATTTGAGTCTCGCCGCGGATCTGGATCTCGACGGTCATGTCGATGGCGACGATGAGGTGTTTCGCGATGAAATTGATGATGATGAACTTGGATCGGCTCAACGAAGGATGCTGGTGCTTCGTAGAGGTACTACTCGTTATTCTTTTGGTATTACGTACGGAGATTTCGCCAATCGCGGCGGTGGTTGTTGTTACGATGACGGCGAGGAAGATCGCGGTGAGGATGATGGTGAATACGACGATTCGTATGATCTAGACGAGGAGCTTGTACCGAGAAGCGTAACGAAGGAGCTGGGGAAACAGAGGATGAGGAAGTTAGGGAAGAAATCAATCGCCAAGGTTCCGTATTCACTCTTGAAACCTGGTTGCGTTCGTCCTGGTGGTAAGCATGGTCTCGGCATGAAACTCAGGTTCTGATCTCAGATTCCCAGAGTCTCGACTTCAAAGAATCAAGAACCTTAATAGTCATGGTTGATTTCTATCTAGGATTTCCTTAGTTTCTGGGTTTAATTGATGTGTAAATGGTAGTAAGATCAATTGCTTTATCCTTTGAATTCCCTAAGTAAGTAAGTATGATTTCTCTGAAACTTTCATGATCATGAATAACATTTCTTATTAGGGTATTGCATTTCTTATTAGGGTATTGCAATATTAATCAGATTATGGATCTTCTTGAGTTTTAGCATCTTTAAGTAATGTTGGATTCAAGTGGTAAGTCGTGGAGATGCTTGATGCTGGATATAGGTCAATTTCAATCGTAGCTCTTTCACAGAAAGACATGGAAACTCGTAGCCCAATGATTTTAACAAGGAAGAAATTTTTTGTTTTGTGGTAGTGGTTAAATTTGGCTTATCTTTGACAAATTTATGAATGTTGGTGGCTGCTTGAAGAGTCATTATCGTTAGATGTACGCATCACATTCTGAAATTTTCGACATGTGAGTGAGAGTAGTTGAGACTTTGAGATAAATTTTATTTTCTGATTTAATAAATGACTTTGTATCTCACGTTAGAAACTTGTACTATGAATCTATGATACAGTTTGATGCCTCTTAAAACTTATGGCTGTCAATGTGAGCCCAATCCATACATGTCTGAGTAGAGTAGTAAACATCCTTGAGCAACATCGACTGTTTTCAAAATGAAAAACTTCTGAAGCAAATCAAATGGGAAGTTCTATTAAAAGTCCAAACATGGATTGGAATAAAAATAGAAATTTAGGGTATCAACTATAAGTATGACTGGAAACCGATTGGATAAACATAAACTCATAATTTTTGATTCAGATATACTAATCGGATTCGGATATGTGACTTCTGAAGAATGAATATCTATAGAAAAATTAGCATATTTGCAGATATTCTAATCCGGATACGCAAAAAACCAACTATTGTAACACTACTAAACTCATTATACAATCTTTGAAAGAGAAATAAACCAAAACTGGGACATTCTGATACATGACTTCTTAAAATATGGGATTTCTTCTAATTCGGATAAATAATAATGGTGAGGTGAGAAGAACTATGGAAAGGAACAAGCATGACATGCCGTTTCTCAACAACTAAAACGGGACGTAGTACATTTACATGCCCATAGAACGGTACGATGTTTCGATATATCTTATCTCCATCTCCATGGCCACACATCACAAGATAGAGGATAAAACCCAGAAGAAGCCAAAAAATACTTAGCTTAATTACTTATCTTCTTCTCCGTCTTCAATTTTCTCACTCAGAGAGAGAGCAAACAGAAAAATGACGGTGAAGATAAGGCTCGCTCGTTTCGGTTGTAAACATCGTCCCTTTTACCGTGTTGTTGCCGCCAATGACAAATCTCGTAGGGACGGTAAACAAATCGAGGTTCTAGGGTTTTATGATCCATTGATTGG